GTCAGAATTTAAGAAGAACATGGAAGAAATAAAAGCTGATCAATATGTTAAATTGATTTCTTAAAACTCAGTCTTCTAAATTGAAGAGTATTTCTCATTTTAAGATGTTATTTTGAGCACATGAATTGAAAACGCTGGCCAGAGAGTTTTTGTGAGGCTCTCTCTTGTTACAAAGATCTATGAAAAACAGGCTTGGCTTCCCAGTTTTAAATGACAAAATAAATGGTGGATAAGAAAATTGATGAAAAGTATAAAGGTTCTGGTATCCAAAGACATGTAATTCACTCAAATATTTTGAGCACCTTTGTGTAACGTGTGTGTGTGTGTGTGTGTGTGTGTGTGTGTGCAAATACATAAGAACATAGACACCAGAGTTACCACACACATGTAAGAGGAGATAACTGAGCTCTGGGTGGTTAGAGGTGGAAACAATGCCGTGATGCAGGATGTTTACCACTTGTTTTGCTTTGATTTTCTTTGTTTTCTTTAGTTCTGTTAAAACTTAAGTTGATAGATATTGACATTAAACAAATACTACCATTTTGCAAAGCAGATCATGAATTTACCAAATTCAGTGCTAACTCTTTGAAAATACGGTATATGATGTTTAAAAGAACATAGTTGCTAAGGAAGTTTTACAATAAAGAAGAAATCAATTCAGATTTCTATCTGAATTTTAAATTATGTTTTTCATTGGAAATTTTCATGTGCTGTAGTTTTTTGTAAATACTCATAAACTTAGTGGGTTTATTATTTAAAAATTAAAAAATAAATCTAACAATCAAGAAAGTAGAGTATACTTTCCATATAAAGCATAATTAAAATAATTCTGTTATAGAAATTCAAGTTCATAAAAAATAGGAGGAACTTGAGGTTTCAGTACGAAATAGTGCATTCCACAAAATCACATGTAAGTTAGGGGGCAGATCAATGAAAGGATGTTTTGACCATTGGGAGTAATATTTTCAGTTCTATTTCTAACAGTTCTTCACAGAAATGCATATGTTTACGTGATTACGTGGACACATCCCAAATTAAGAATGGCATTTTCTGGGCTGGAGAGTTGGCTCTGCAGTCAAGTGTGCTTACTGCTTTTATAATGTCCCAGAGTTTATTTCCCAGCAACCACACTGGGCTACTCACAATTGCCTGTATCTCCACCTTCAGAGCATCCAAAACCTTCATTTGGTCTCTGAAGGCACCTATACGCATATGTAGATATCCTCACACAAACTTCCACACATATACATAATTAAAAATAAAAATTAATCTTTAAAAGTGACATTTGCTATTTCTGAATAGTAACATTTTTCTTCTTTGCTGGGTATTCTTTTTGAGAAGGGAGAATAATTTTTCACTAACAGCACTGATTTTACTACATCTGTTAAGATTGATATAATTCATAGAGACTCAGTGAATATGTATGAATATGAAAAGTGGTCATAAATTTTAAACAATGTAGCTTATACTAACCTTGTATGGACAGAGTATAGATTCCAAGAAACATTCCGTTGTTCAGTTTGCCAGTGATCACAGGCGTGGTATCACCAATGAGCAGGTTATCAGTGATAGGGAGGATTATAGTGTTCAGGGTTCCTGAAAAAGCATGAATGAGTATGTATGCTCAGATTGAGAGTTGTAGAAAAGAAGGAATAGGATCCTTGAATGAATGGTGATACAAACAGAATGAACCCTTTGCCTTTAAACCCTTGTGATGTCTGTAAGTGAGAACAACACTGTGATGTAAAATGAAACATCAGAGCACAGGTGGATGTTCACAATCAGTTCTGAATATGTATCCTCTCCCTCACTTAGGCTACCACAAGGACACCGTGCCACTGTGCCATTAAAATGACACTCATGTGACACAAATGAATCATACAGATTGGCTCAGAAAGTGCAAGTCCTGGATTCAACTGACAGAAAACCTTTGATCAAAACATACAACCTGTATAGCTCTAATATGTTTTATGACCTCCCCAGAGAGACTTCTGATTTTTCACAGCACTTTTATCACAAGTACGAGGACCACTTGTCACAGAAGCTGCACCATAAGAACTTAAGTGATGATAGGTTAAGAGAGTGGTGTTAAAAAGTGAAATAAGAAGCTTCAGGGAGAGAAGTTTAATAAAGGGGCCCTGTCTAAGGACCAGCATTCAGCAGACTCTTGATCTCTACACTTTAGCTCTTTGTGACTTTTTGTGTTCCTGGCCCTCCACTGCATGAGGAAGATTCATTATTGAGAACTGAGAGATTCATTAGTGTTCTCTTTCTTCATTATCCCTGTTCTATGTTCCATGAGCCTTAGGTGTAGAGGTTGCATTATAGATGTGTCACTTAGGCCTAGGGAATTCATAGACAATGTCTGTGTGTGACTAGTTATGGTACTTAGCAATAGACTCTGACTGATGCAAAATGAGTTTGTTTAATGAGTGGTAACTGGGATATTTGTCTGTAAATATAAGGATACCTATTTGGCACATAGTAAATTATATTAGTCTAGTGATGTGACAGTCTTGGGGTTTTCTCTAAGATCTATGGCCACTCCAGCCATGTGTATTAAGCTATGTTTGCATAACCACACTTGAGTTTCCTCCCTTTGAGTAGGCCTTTAATCAAATTAGGTAGCTGTTGATTGCCCCCAAGAAGAGACTGTCACTACTGCAACAATGACGTATGTATGCTGTGCTGGCCACTGATGTGGTTATTTGGTCTTGAAGCTGGTGTTGAATCATCCACTAATGTTTTCCCTTGGCATCTTCAGAGTGCTTTCCAAAACTATGAGAGCTAGCCTTCAGGGGAAGTGGTTTCAGGTCAGCTGCAGCTCTATTGCTCCAAATCCTGTGTCTAGAGTATGTTCTGTTTTCTGCAGTAGGATCTTACCTTCAAATTCTGGGAGGCCATCAAGGGCTGCGGCAATAGCCTGAGTAATTTGGGCAGTCTCTTGGACCACCCTGGCCAACAACTCGAAGGTATCTCCTGTCTGGCACTGTTTCTTGTCATGTAGCATGTTAGCAGCAGTTTAAAATATTATTTCCATTTGATTTTTCCTTTTTCTCAGGATTCAAGTATTTTGATTTGTGTTGCTGAATGTGATATTTATTATTGTTAGGTCACAGGAAGAAATGACTATTCTGTTGAGTCACAAAATGCATTGATAGGAACCATCCTGGAGCCCTGAGCTTAAGCTGTGAAGAGCAGCCAGATATAGGTGAATCACCCTCCTCTTTTCCCAACAACAATTCTTTATGTTTCTGCTGCTCAAGGCAGTGGTACCTACCCCAAGACTAGAAAAATTTGTATGCAGTACGGACTTGGGTCTCAGACCAACCTGCAGAATTTCATAATCACTGCTCTACAGATAGCAGGATGTGTCCTGTCAGGCAGGGTGCTTAATCTTTCTCCACCTTGATTTCCTCATCTTTCAATAAATGTAGTAAAAGAAGCTATGAATATTAAATGAGGTACTGTGCTGACAGTATTAAGAAATATAATTAAATAATTCAAACTGTAAGAAATCTTATCTTCCTTTTTAAATAAGTGGTGTGTGTGTGTATAAAATAGTGATCCTGATAATTATTTTAGACGATTAGGCCATTCACAGGAGCTATAAAAACAAGCAAACAAACAAAAACCCTTCACCAATGGGTGTAAAAAAATTACATGGTCCAGTGCCACACACACACACACACACACACACACACACACACGCACGTGCGCGCAAAACTTGTACTAGAATGTCATTTTGTGTTATTTAGTGTGTTTAAATACTACAAAAACCAAAGGATAATCAGGTGTTTAACTAACCTGAAGCAGAGCATAAGCACAATTGTTAGAATGAAGTGAATCACTTACAAAACTGTGTGAGACAAAAGCTGTATCTTCTAGTCACCAGGGAAGCTTAAAAATGCACTGTCTATGACGCCCTAAGTGGTTTCCTAGTTTTTTTTTATTGTATTTTAGCACCTTATTGCTTGAAAAATGCAAATGTAGTTCTGTAGGGCAGAGAAAAAGCCTTGTTATTTGGTAAATTGAGTTTTTACATTCATATTAACCAAAGTCCAGGATGATGGCAGTTACAGGGGATGAAAGATTGTTGAAATGACAGATTGAGTAGTGTGTTTCTCAGGTTATGAAGTTCAGGAAAATGTGTAATTATTTCTAAGTTTCCCAGGTTCTCCTGTTCAACATTATGTTCTGACATACAGCAGGGACAGTTTCAGATATGAAATGCAAATTAGGAGGTACTGCCCTGCTGCTGACTGTGGGGTTAATCATGCAAATCTAATGCAGTTCTTGGTATTTCAGGAACTGCTTTAGTTGAAGTCCCGTGCACGTATTGATTTAAAATACCTGCTTTCAAGAGTAGTAATTTTTTGCTTCATTTTCTAAAATACTGAACAGGCTTTGGAGATAGAGTTAAAAGCTGGACATCATCCATCCATGCTGATTGATTATGGAAAGCTGTACAGGGCAGTGTGGAGGCTGGCAGTTAGACTGGGGAGTCAGGAGACAGGGCAATTAAGAAGTGTTGGTATTTATAAACAAATTAAATATCATCTCAGAACTAAAGTCACAGATTTTCTGTAGAAAATACTATAGAATGGAAGAACCCCAAATCAGCAAAGTTCGTATGTGTAGCAAGTTTGTATGTGTACCAAGATTGTATGTGTACTAAATATCCAATTCAAAGTAGATGGCAAAACTGTCAGGGGAATTAAAATAAAATAATAATTATCACGGGTCCCTAAGTCTGGGAATAAGATAGAAATACCTTTGGAAATGAGACCATTTGCAGAAAGAAATGAAACTGTCCTGCTCTCGGTGCAGGATGACACCTTATAACAGCCTTGCTGCTGTGCACAATCAGAACTCAGCTTATCTCTCCAAGAACAATGAAATTTCACAAACAGCTGCCTGCCATAAGAACGATTTTTACATATCTCTATATCGCTGACTCTCTTGTAAGTTAATCTCATCTTCCATGAATTTTTCACCAGCTTCACTCTGATGTTGATAAAGGAGATGGTTCCATCAAATACATCTTGTCAGGCGAAGGGGCAAGTTCCATTTTCATTATTGATGAGAACACTGGGGATATTCATGCTACCAAGAGACTGGACCGCGAGGAGCAGGCCTACTACACACTCAGAGCCCAAGCGCTCGACAGGCTCACCAACAAGCCCGTGGAGCCTGAATCTGAGTTTGTTATCAAAATTCAGGATATCAACGACAATGAACCAAAATTTCTGGATGGCCCATACACAGCAGGAGTTCCTGAAATGTCTCCTGTGGGTAAGTTTGGAGCATGCTGAGGTTGTACTGAGTATATGAAAAAATGCTTTTACACATACAGATGGTCAGGATGAAGGAGGATTTGAGACATGCTAGTAGCTGAGGACTCATTTATTCAGTGCATGGCTCTACTTGTTCAGAAGATTAGGAGATTTTTATTTTCTGGGTTTTTTTTGCATTTTCTATTTTTCATTTTGTAAAACTTTCTTATCGTGTTTAAGAGATTACTTTTACATTTTCCTTTCTGTTTAATATTTATTCATTTTAAAATATGATTTCAACTATGTATAAAACGTTAGTTGAAAAAATTAGTTTTTCCAGTCATAGCCAGTGATGAACTTTTCTTTGGGTCTGAAAATAATGATCTAGAATCACTCCCTTTCCATTGTATCCAGAAAGCTGTCAGTAGCTGCTTAGCTCAACATTGGTTTTGCTGGTCTGTTACTTGTATTGAATGTGCAAAACCACACAGCTATTCACCGTATACCACCACCGATCATTCTATAATTTCTTCACATGTAAATCAAATACTGAGTTCTCATACTGATAAAACAATATTCAGCTGGAGAGATATAAAGAATAAAAAAGACTCTCACTCTCCAGTCTTTTGGCATTTCTCCATTCCTAAAAATAGTGCAAGTGTTTCTAAGTTATACTTTATATGAAATAATATGAACTCCCATTTAAATTCTATTTATCTGAGTATTTATTCAATTTTTGAACAATTTTTCTTTAGTCAGAATGTAATTAAAATATGGACAGACTTATAAAAATATTTGGGAATGTAATAGAGAATGGTTGGTCTATAAATGTGTTCACCTTGTTTTAATTATTGATGTAGATGCTCATTTAAGTTATTATTTGAATGTATAGCACATGGAATTGTAGCCGATATTATTTGTTTTGTGTCTTTCAATCATTTGATCAACATACATTGATCAATATCACCTTTCAGAATGGGACTGCACAGATAAGTATTTTATGTTTTCTCTAGGTAATCATAAATTATTAACCTTAGATTTTTGAATCATATGGCTCTAACTTAAAATCCAGTGGGGAAATCTTTTGATAGTACATAGATGTGAATTTCTATAATCACACAGGTGTATTCCCATTTTATCAATGCTGTCCATGTCTACAACATTCCTTCTGAAAGTGTGGCTTGACAAAAATCAGAGTAGCAACAGCAGTCACAGTGAGATCTTCAAGGTTTTAGAAGGAAAAGGTGGCATATTTTCTACTCAAACCAGTAATGTTGAGTAAAACAGGTTTTAAGATTCTGTTTGATTCAAATTTTGGCTTGTATTTCTTGGGTATTTGGCGTATTCTTCATTGGCTTACTAAATTTTCATTGACTGTGAAAAATGGGTATATGTGAACTTTTTGCTTTAAAGGCTACATAATGCATTGAAGTTTCTATTTTCGTGACTGTGGTTTAATATGGAATAGCATGATTACTGAGCATATGTGCAAGTTATTTTATTTGCTTGATTGGTTTATATGGGTTAAAATATTTTTAGAAAAATTATTCTAAACTCTCTTTAGGATTTACTAGACACTATTTTAAACCACTGGGCTAATATAAAAATTTAATCTCAGAGCAATGGATGGCAACATAATATTATATATATTTAAATATGATTAATTATAACTGAATGAAGTGTTTAATTCTCACAAAATAGTTATAATAGCCACCAAATGGTATGATATATGCAACATTAGCATTAAATTCTTAATATTAAAGTTTTTTTTACTTAATTTCCAGTAAGCATGTTTTAAAATAATGGTCATAAACCAGTATGGCCATTTATACATCACCACAAACATACAGAACAATAGAAATTTTAGGAATGTGCCTCAGTCAGTAAAGTACTTTCCACAAAAGCCAGAGGACCTGAGTTTGATACCCAACACCCATGTAAAATGCTGGGCACTGTATGCACATAATCCCAGTACTCTAGAAATGAAGACAGGAGGATATCTGGGGTTCTCTGGTCAGGCAGTTCAGCCCATTCAGTGAGTTCTTGACCAATGAAAGACCCATTCTCAAAATCCAAGGATGATGACTCTTGAGGAATAACACACAAGGTTGAACTCGGGCCTCCACACTTGCACCCTGCATACCTCCAACGCACACATACAAACTTTATATTCATTTGCGAATAAATATAGTAGCTATTAAATATATTACATATTTTAAAATGTGTTGATAAACTAAAGATTAATATTACTTTTTACATTTTAACTATTAGATTTATTTAGTAGTACCCACTGTTAATCTCTCTGCCAGATATCTACAGGGTGTAGTCTACCTAAGCTCACAAAAGCAGAAACAAAACACAATTCAGTTTAAAAGAAATGTTGAGTGAATATAACTACATCTAATCAATTATAAGGAAAATGGAATTAGTCAAATATATGCAAAAACATGATCACTAGAGATGAAGAACATTTAGAAAGAGCAAAGCATATTTAAAGGTGATAGTAGACTTAAAATACCACATTTAGAATATTACTACAACCAAACTAATACTTTGGGTTGTCTTATGGACAGTACTTGAATCTTTGATGTGCTAGACAGTGCTCTTGATGAAATCCTGTTACCTGAGCATGGTGAGTGAAATGCCTAGCATCAGCCCTATTTGGATCTTAGTTTGTCTCTAATACTCATTACAAGTACTCTTTTTTTCTAATTATTTTTATATCACTTACTTCAAGGGTTTTGTTAATATTTATTATCTCTGGTGTGTTTTAAATAAGAAAATACACTAGATCAATATTTCATGTGCCTTGAATGAAGATATATTTAAAGATGCAAATAAAACTAGTATAGACTCTGCAACAGTTTGTGACTTCATTAGTTGTCACATTTGGAAGTTTTAATTTAAAGCCTTTCTAATTGTCACCTAGGGACTTCAGTAGTACAAGTGACAGCAACAGATGCTGATGATCCCACGTATGGTAACAGTGCTCGTGTGGTCTACAGTATTCTGCAAGGGCAGCCATACTTCTCAGTGGAACCAAAGACAGGTAAGAAATGAAAGGTGTACTGTTGGGAGCTCTTAATCCATTATGTACATTGAGCTGTGGCAGGCTTGCTTGTTTACTTAGAGTTTGTTTCTTGCACACCAGTACCTAATCTGCCAAGTCAGGAGGAATGTGTTTATATGGTGGAGTTCAGAAGTATTTGACCACTCCTTGACCCTCAGATACAGGTGGGAAAAACAGCTGTTGAAGCTAATTGAGCTGAGCAAAGGGTGGCTATCTCTGATGTTCTTCTGTATAAAAAGGCGGAGCTAAAATAAACCAGGGCTGCAGTCTCTACTGACAGTCCTCCCAAGTATCTTTTCTCTGTCCCTTGCTTTTTCTTTCAATCCTCACTCCCCCTTTCAGGTACTGTTGGTCTTGGCCAGCTAGCACCGGCAGTGTACTCCTGTACAGATATCAATATGTCTTAGCTGATGATTAACATCATTTTTATTAGTATTATTGATAGCAGATAATAAATTCTAATTTTCTTTTCTCAATATCTCAATTATGCTAAAAATCACCTATTTTGAAGGTATCAATATCTTTTGAAAGAATAGTTTACTACATTAATCTGTATTCTTTGACAAATTAAAATATTGCTAAATATTCACAACAGCTTCTGCAAATATTCATGACTTCATAAGGACATTTTCATTATGTACTTCCATGTTTTATTTTTATTTTCTTTAATCAGTTTATTTAGAGAATTAGACATTGTGAAATTTAAAATAGATAGAAACCTCTCCTCCATAGCATAGAATATATAGGAAGTCTGATTTGTCCTTCTAGAGGTTGGTTCTCAGGAAAATTAAATGAAACTATGAAAACTATGATCTGTGAAACAAAAATGATATTTGCTTATGAATTGCAGTATGAATAGAACACTTATGTCATTGCTTTATTTTTCATTTAAGCTAAAAAGCTATAGATTGAGAGGATACTATGAAGCATTCTTATTTTGAGTGTGAAGTCAATATGCAGTGTTTGGCCTTGTGGCTTTCTTTCTCTGTGGAGAAGTGGATAAGCCTAAGTATTGTTGAGTATGCTCCACTGAATATTTTGTCACAAAAACTTTAAAACCTGCCTTTTAAGGAAGCAGAATTCCTCTAATACTCCTAATATGCTTAGGAATATTTGATTATAAGTATGATTCTAAATTAATAATTTAGTGGCATTGTTCTGTTTTCCATATTTACCAAAGAAGCAATGTCAATTCATTTTCAAATCAAAGCAGAGATAAATATTTTAATGCTTTTGTAAACAATAATGTTCACTTGCATGAACAGAGAAGTGAATTCAATCATAGCTCAGCAATTAAAATTTTGGAACAGTCAACAATGCTGTGATTTTGGGTGATTTATACCAAGCCAATAATAAAATGTAGAAACACCTGGAAAGTCTAATAGGTAAGAAATGATTCTGATTAAGCAAAAAAAAAAATTGAGGACAATAAATGAAAACATTTAACATGATGTGAGCAATGCAGATGTAGAAAATATGCAAGTCTGACTTACTGGTAGATGTGAGAAAGTACATTCAGACACACACTCCTTCCCTCATGTGTCTGTTTTCTCCAGCCTAGAAAGTCTTTGATGCTTTTTTGACAGTATGCTCATAAAAATATCATGTGCTAAACCCAAGGGGGTAAATATTTCATCACCACTAATGATTGGCTTGTGTTTTTAGTCTTTTTAAAGATTACGGAATTTTCCTGTAACCTCATAGAGCTAAAAACCAATTGTAAGTGGTAAATCTTTTGGCCAATTGTATATGACCTATAATTATATTATTAGTGACCAAATATGTAAATATGATTTTAATTTCAAAGTGTAAGCTATCTTATTTTGCTGGAGACAAAAGAAATGTGCTTAATATTGTGATAATGGTAAGGACTGTTACTTTGGCATATACTGTCATTTCTGGTGTTACAGTAACTCACACTATATAGACTATTTTTTTTTGAAAGAAAAAAATATATTACATTTTTAATGACAAAAATGTAAAGTTTGGATTTTTTCATGCATGGAGAGTTGGAAATCAAATTTCAATCTTCTTTGTAGGTTGTCAATCTGAGTTTTATCTAAGTAAGGAATGATATTATTTTCCATTGCTTGAAATCTACAAATTTGGGAGAAGATAGCAAGATTTGGACAGAAATTTTTTTTGAAAATATGCTAAAGAAAGATTAATAAAGTAGGTCTAGACAATCACTGCTAGGTTTTTAACTGGTAAAAGTTTTTTTAGCTGGTAGAAAAAGTAGCTTGGTTAAAAATCACAGAGCACATATCCCAACAGTTTATACACCAAATGTCCAGGTCACAGCTCTACATTCTCTCAGATTTTCCTTCCACAAAACCAAAATATGTAGTAGAAAAACTCAATGCTGACAATTTATTTCCTGAAGCAAATAGAATGGCAACTAAAATCAGATAATCATTCAGCATTTAAAGGGCTTAATACATTCTTGTCCCCATCTTCCTAATGCCCATAAACCTAATGGGAAACAGGATTATTGCAGGGTTTCTTTATTTTGTAGCCTGCAAAAGACAGAGCACATGGATTTTCCTAGTTGTCATAAGACATATGTTTAACTAATTTGTAGTTCAAAACCAAAAATATACCCTTTATTTTAAATTATGACATAATTCACCAGAAATATAAAACAACCATGTAGTCAGTCTGATTTAACAAATTCCAAAGTCATAAAGTTGGCTGTGGAAAATAAATTCAAAGGTAAAGATTGCTCGGCATTTAGGAGTTCATTCCTAAAATGACAGCATTTGTAGATTGAGGAAGGAAGTTGTCACATAGTTCATAATTTCCATCAAGAATATTGTTTATTAGAATGAATGAACCTGGAGGCCATATGGGGCCTTGTGATAAGAGTGTGAGCATTAGAGAGAAGCATTGTAATATATAGAGATCTAAACATGATGAGGGCTGAAAGGGAATTAGACGTGTCCCTTTAAATCCTGGAGAGAAGCTTCATTAAGAGTGAGAATGAGACGGTCTTGGAGATGGCTTGGCAGTTAAGAGCACCCATATTTTGTTCTCAGCACCCACATGGTGGCTAACAACTGTCTGTAACTCCATTTCCAGGGGATCTGACATTCTACTCTTGCTTCCACCAGCACTTACATACATGTAGGCAAACACTCATACACAAAATAAAAATCAACAGAAAAATATAAAAGAGTGAGAAGTAGGGAGACAGTGAAAGAGAATCACCATGGAGACAGATGGCTGTGAAGAGCCTCTACAGAGATCAACCTTTGGCGGCAATCACATGAGCAGTCCCTCTGAGGAGCCTTTAGACAAAATACCCAGAACAAAGGAGAACCCTAACATTTTATAATCTTTTAGAGGTAGTGGGATGTTCACATCAGGAGATTTAGTAGCATTGCCTGTGTGACAAAGTGCATAAAGGAACCAAGCATAAAGTAAGAGCTGTCTCATTGCATCCTAGAAATTTTCATAACTCTGTTCCAGAGAGACCTGCAGGGAACTGGCCCGATTGAGGCTGTAGCATATGGCCTAAAGGTGCAGGCCTGTGTTGTAACATGTAATATGTAGTAGATATGACTCTGTGCTAGCTACCATATGTTTCATAAAGACTTCCTTTAATGTAATTTGATGTCATCATAACATTCTCCCATTCCATTCACTCCCCTGATAAGGCTCATGTTATACAGGGTATTGGCTCTTTTGCAGTGCACTGAGGATTTGAACATATTAGTTCTCAGTGACTTCCTTTGCTGCCAGCTTGGAATTCCTTTGTTGTTCCCAAAACTTTGGACTTTACAACAATTTCTTCTCTGTCTTTTTTTTTAAAGTATATGTTGCACATACAGATGAACAAACCAAATGTACTTACTGGCTACTTTTCTAATTGTTGTGACAAATATCTAACAGAAACAACTTTGTATGTGAGTGGTGGTGATGGATGTGTGTGAATAGTCACTTGGCTGTGTGTGTGTGTGTGTGTGTGTGTGTGTGTGTGTGTGTTAATGTATGTGAAGGCAAGAGACAGGCTGTCTCATTGACCTAGAGTTAACTGGGGACTAGAGAAATGGCTCAGTGGTTAAGAGGACTTCTGCTCTTACAAAGAAACTGTGTTCAGCTCCCAGCACCCATCTGGCAGCTAACATATGTCTGTAACTCCATTTCCAGGGGATCCAACACCTTATAAAGAAATTTTAAAAATTAAGCTGAAACTGCTTTATGGTCCACTTTCAATATCTATAAAAAGTCCTTTGCTTCACAGTAGTCTGCATTGTTTCTGAAATTTACAGATATATTACACAATATTTCACAACATGTTAGAATTAATAACTTCCTTTATACAAATCATTGTATTTATTTTCCCAAAGCAATGTAAGTCTAAAAGGTATGCACACCTACAAGTGTTGGCCTATCCCTTCTCCACTTGAGGACTAATTTTATTTTCTAGTTACCTCTTTATTCATCAAAACTTCAGCTTATTAAAAATTCATTTTAATTTCAGTGGTTTATATGTTTCTGCACTGAATGAGTTGCTGGGTTTTTGCTGCTTGGTAAACCGTGGAAGCAGTGGCTCTCATCAGGACAGTGGCATTTAGAGATAAATGCACTGTTGTTACCCAATCTGAATATGCACAAAGGACTATTTGTGTCTCATCTGTAGCATAACAGCTGATCAAACAAACTATGCAGTTAACTATGGTGAGTCACTCGTCCTTTTGTTCAGGGAGGTCATGGAGACCCCACGAGATGGACTTGAACCAGTGTCCAGTCCATAAAGAGGAGGGTCAACTCAGAGGAAACATTTCTTCTATGCTTCCAAGTGAAGCCAGCCAGGGTCAAGCAGGGCCTTTGACTTATCTTCACTTAAATGTAACTGGTGAAAGAAAGGAGCCAGGGCTCACGTGAGCCCTGAGTAACAGATCCTCAAACAACCTTAAGAGTAAAAATAAATTGGTGTATTTGGGCCAACTGTATGGTCTTAAACACCCAAAAGGAAA